CATTTATTTTATTTAGATTGTTTTATTTTTTTATAATAATTTCCTCTATATTACTTTGTTTTATATCATTTTATTAATTGTTTTATTTCTTTTTATTACTTTTTAATTTAATTTTTTTTCTTTATTTTTTCTGTTTAATTTTTATTATACTATTATTTTTATTTTTTATTTTTAATAATTTCTTATTTTTATTTATATTATTATATTTTATTTTATTTTCTTTTATTTTAGTTAACTTAAATTAATTTAATTTATTTTAATTACTTTTTAATTTAATTTTTTTCTTTATTTTTTTCTTTATTAAATTTTATTTTATTTTCCTTTATTTTATTTAATTTAATTTTTTTATTATTTAACAACTTTTTAATTCCATTTTTTTTCTTTGTTTTATTCTGTTTTGTTTTTATTTTATTATTATTTTTATTTTTTATTTTTAATAATTTCTTATTTTTATTTATATTATTATATTTTATTTTATTTTCTTTTATTTTAGTTAACTTAATTTAATTTAATTTATTTTAATTACTTTTTAATTTAATTTTTTTCTTTATTTTATTCTTTTTCATTTTTATTATACTATTATTTTTATTTTTTATTTTTAAAAATTTCTTATTTTATTTTATATTATTAAATTTGATTTTATTTTCCTTTATTTAATTTTATTTAATTTTTTTATTATTTAATAACTTTTTAATTCCATTTTTTTTCTTTGTTTTATTCTATTTTATTTTTATTTTTTATTTTTAATAATTTCTTATTTTATTTTATATTATTATATTTTGTTTTAGTTTCCTTTATTTTATCGAATTAATTTTATTTCTTTTAATTACTTTTTAATTTTGTATATTTTTTTAATCTGTTTTATGTTTATTTTGTTATTTTTTTAATAACTTTTTATTTTATTTTACATTATTTTATTTTCCTTTATTTTATTTAATTTTTATTTTATTTCTCTCAATTACTTTTTAATTTAATTTTTTTCTTTATTTTATTCTAAGAAAAATAACATCTTAAATATGTTTTATTTTTAACATGTTGTGGTTTTTATTATTTTTTTAATTTGATTTCATTTTATTTACCTTTATTTGAATATTTATTTATTTTATTTTATCTCATTCCAAGTATTATTAATATTCAATATGAATTAATTTTCTACATCTGCAATTACTGAAATTAAAAAATAAGTTAATAAAAGCCAATATTAATTCTAACATTGAGTTATTCAAATCGGATTGACCTTCACGAGCGTACTATAATCCTATTAACTAGCCATCAAACGGCAGTTATAAGCCTGCAAGTAAATACATATTTACAGTGTGACTGCCATAAATGCCCCTTTGGTCAGCATGTCAAGGTCATATATGCTTAAGCCATACAAACATACATATCCGTAATAAAGTAAATTCAATGAATGCAGCCAGTGGGCATATAAATATGTCTAAAAGCGCGTAAATTAACGAAAATTTACGAAATACATATTGTACATACAGATGTATGTGTGCGTATGTACATACACGTATACACAAATGTCTGCACACCCGCGGGTATTTGCTCACATAAAGAGGCTCTTTGAAAAACGTTGCTTAACCATTTAACCCAACAAAATGGTCATAAAAGTGTAAGTCGCAAGGCATAAATAACATAAAAAGGAGCATAAACACGCATAAAGGCCTACATATACACAAACATACGTCCGTTTGTGACGTGAAATGTACATACATAAAAAAAATTATTTAAATATTTGTATGTCTGAGAAGTGCTGCCTCGCGGAAGTTAGCGTAAAACGCATAAAAGTCACAACACTACCGAATTAAACACAGCCAAACGAGAAAATCATGCAAGCGTGGCATATTTTAGGGCGTGGCATACATGTAAATACTCATACATGCATACAAATGAAATATAAGCAAATAGTTATTTAGGTGTTTGCGTGTTTTGTAACGCTTCGCGCATCATGAAATACTAAGTGAGCGATATAAAATAATTTTTGGAAATTTGTGATGATTTTTATGCCATACAAAAATATTTGCGAGCACGTAGAAAAGATGTTTAAAAAATAATGTTTTGAGATTAACAATAGTTTTTTTTCCAGCAACATTATCCTTTGCAGCTACATTTTCTGCTTGAAGATATTGAGAGTTGTTATACATACATATATATTTTTCTTTATATATTTGAAGATTCGTTTGACTATATTTTAAGTCTTAACATTTTTTATGTTTGGCCATATTTAATGTTTGAGCATATTTTTTGTTTTAACATAATAAATGTTATACTGTATATTATTTATTATTTGATGTATTACAAAATCATACGATTTACCATATTTTATGTCATACCATAATTTTTGTTTGACCTCAATTTTTGTTTTCCAATATTTGATGCTTATTAGCAGTTATTGCGTTTTGAAAAAAATTTACGTTGTTAAGTTTAAATTTAATTTAAATGACAAAATTGTATGTTTAGCAATAGTATGTAGTATGTCTGTATGTGTGTATTTTGCGGAAACTCGTGTTTAACAATTTTTGATATAAGAAAAGTTGTTTTATTTTACAAAATTTTATTTAAAGCATTTTTCTCATATATATTTATTTAATAATTTCTTTACGAACATTGCATCAACTAAGCCATATTTTCTGCTTGATTGTATTTTAGAAAAGTTTTATTTTTATAGCAAAGTTTTATATTTTGCATTAATTTGGTAACAATTTTTTTCCTTTTTTTAATATGAGCACAATAATTATTCTGTCCAGCTTTATATATTTGCTTTTAAAAGATATTTTATGTTTTGCCATATTTTATGCTCAGCCAAATTTTATGTTCAATTTCGTATTGAGTGCTATTTTATGTTGAACCGTATTTTTTGCTAAGCCATATTTTTTTCTAAGCCATATTTTGTGTCGAGCCATTTTCAATGTTAAACCATATTTTCTGATATGCCATATTTTGTGTTATGTCATATTTTCTGTTATGCCATATTTTGTGTTATGCCATATTTTATGTTATGCCACATTTTTTGTTATATCATATTTAAGTTTATGCATTATTTTTTCGTTAATCATGTTTTATGCCCAACCATATTTGAGCAAATATTTTATGACTATACTCACACCTTATTTTATAGCCTACATTGTCATAAAGTACAGGAAAATGTACGAGTATACTATTGTATATACCTATATGTATCTAGTGTGTGAAAACATTTATATAATGGCATTGAAATTGCTCACGTTTTGTTTGACAACTTCCGGTATACTCGTATAGCAATCAACAATAAACACTAATAATAATAAGCACAAATAAAACAAAGTGAACAAAAAGCAACAATATATCGACAATTAAAATCATATACCAGAGCGCATAAAACTAAAAAGGGGAGCATAGGCGCTAGACATAATAATCAAGTTATGTACAATAATTTTAATGGTCAATAAGCCGAAAGCGCTTGCCTTTGCATGTATGTACGTATGTGTCTTATATAATTTGGTGTATTACACTAATATCTGTGTACCCGATGCCACTCAGTTATAATCGTAAAACATATACAAGTACATATACATACATATGAATCATCCATTGACACATTGACGAAGATTAATATGTGAAGTAAACGCAGCAATTATGGCAGAGAGCAGTTACAAACAAACAAACATACATACCTATATGGGTATTTGAATGATTGTTTAGTAGAAAGTGAATAATAGAAAATACTTTGGGTGTGCTTGCCAAGTGTTAAGTGCTCACGTAGGACGGAAGTTATCATTATTTAATGCCATTAGTTTTGTCTGGGAATTAAGGAAATAACACTTGTCATGAAGTGGCCTCTTCTATGTAAATATACAAATACGAGTGCATATTAGAACTGTATGTTTAGTCATCTTCTTAATTCAGTCTCTTTGAAAAAGCATACCGGCTTTCCAATAATGCTGACTATCAGAGATTTTTTTCAGTCCTGCAAACGCAGGATAGAGCGTGAATTTTCATTGTATAATGCTCGCACAAAGCTCCCACTATGCGCGAAAGCTTTGCTCTTAGAATAGAAAGTAGCTGTCTGACGTTTCATGGTTCAACTTGGTCCAGAAGTGCTTCTCAATCAGGTCTGCTGAGATGCTATGCCAGCGCTCGCTGAGTTGCCTCAAGCCCCACCTGTCTTGATGACTTGAATTAATGTTCACTTCTCATTTAGAAACCAACTTCCGAAGGCAATGTGCCCACTGTAAAGCATTGCTATGTTCAGCAGGTCTGAATTAACTGCCATTGGACAGTTAGCGAGCTAAGCTGAGTTTTAAGCCGTCCTTGAACAAGTTAAGCGTTACTTCACTTCCAATTACTTTGCAGTCGCTTCCGTGAAGTAGATTATGCTGAAAAAAGTGCCGCTCGCCCCAGCTGGAAATTGCAATAATCCAGAAAGCTGGCATTGAAATCGAGCATATCAAAGACAGCGAAGTGTCTCAAGCTCGAGCCGACTAGTAAACCCGACTCACTGAGTCTTAGAGCGACTTTTGAAGTGAGAATTATACCTGCAGTAAACACAGGGACTATTATATAAAGAGCAGGAGTAGTTCGTGCTGCAGCACAGTTGATGAATAGAGCTTCACGTTCAACGAATTCCAGCTGCCAAGCTGAAAAAACTCTTTACAGTTGATTCTGCATCACAAAAACCCCAAAAAATAAGATATTCATATGTAGATTCAGTACATCTTGTAGCCTCCCTACAACTGATACGTTCGGACATGAGGTTTTGACCAAAAATCTCTAGAAAAAGCATTTAAGCGTTTTCATTTTCTCTCTTTATATATTTACGCTCAGCGTAGAAACACCATTTTTAAACAATGAAAAATACAATAATTTTTAAATTGATTTAAGCTGTTTTCTTTTTATACAATTTTGCTACAAATTACAATATACATACTAACATATATAAAATGTATATAAAATATATATAATTGCCATATATATGTGGTATCTATTGAGATTAAATGCTATTATTTTATTTATAGCGCTGCCATAGATATACCAAGAAGATACATGAACGCCATTGGGAAGATAAACAAAAAAACAGAGGCAATAAAATAAAGAAAAACCAAAATTGTGAGCTAGAGAAATGCGAAGGATGGCCACTTGAATTGGAAAATTATAGAGGTAAAATATAAAGAGAAAAAAAATTAACAAAATAAAATAAAGGAAAAATTAAATTAAATTAAATGGAAATAAAAAATAAATAAAAAAACAAATAGAAATAGATATAAAAAAAGAAAAATAACTTCGAAGCGTGCTTAATAGTTTCCAGGCCAAATAGTTGGAAATAGAAGTAAATTGCTGGCAATTAAAAGCAGTTGACTTGTGTGTAAAATAAGAGAAAATAAATGGCAATGAGAGTAATACGTGCACGAAATAAACGTGTAATAAATAATAAATAAATCGCATGTGTACAGAGAAAAGTGTTCGATTTGTATTGGCCAAAAAATATTATTAAAATAAAATATATTGAAATATTTTAAGTATAAAAAATAGTAAAATCAAGTTGAAAAAAAATCATATAAAATAGTAAAATAAAATAAAATAAATAAATATAAACAAAAATTCAATAACAAACGAATTTCGTATTCCTAAAACAAGATAATTGCTATGTGCTGCATACAAATATTCAATTTTGTGTTGTTTAAAAAATAAATGAAAAATATACAATTAAATAGAAATTAAAATGAAGAAATATTAAAATGGACCATAAAATATCATACAAATTCTAAATTTAACTAAATTCCTGCAATTCCTGCAAAAATATCACTCATACGCCACGGTGCTACATACAACTCACTCCCTGTTGTTTATTTGTTCACCGAAAAATACAACAACTAAAAAAAACAAGCATGCAATAACATATAAGCTAACCTAAAGGGCACTTAACCAACCTTATAAGCAAAACCCGCTGACAAATAAGCTAACAGATATACATTTCAACCCTCCGCCACCACGCTGACGCACACGTATGTGTGTGTATATATGTATATAGCTGGTTGCTCGCAGGCTGTTTACATATGCATGTTATGTATTTACATGCCATTGAAAGTTAAAAATAAAGTATTGTTGTTGTTGTCATTATTATTTAAAAAAAAAACACACACATATATAAATTTGGGCGAAATGAGACAAGGGTACCCCCTTGCTATTGCCGCGGAGAGAAAAAAATGTGTTTAAGAACAATGAAAAATATGTGTGTAAGTGCAAGGGAATTCAAATAAAATGAACGAAATCAATAGAAGAATAAAATTAAATTCAAATTCGAAGTAAATAGTAGAGTAAAATAAAATTAAATTAATTTTAAAGTGAAATAAAAATTAATAATATAAAAAAAATTATTATAAAAATAGGGGGGAAAAAATTAAAAATATAATGAAAAAGTGCATTAAATTGAGTTGGCAAAAGATAACTAAATATTACAGAAAAAATTTTAAGCCAAAATTTTAAGACATTTTCCGCTGGAAGTCCTTTTTTGTGCGAATCAAAGTGCATAGAGCAAAATGTATACATCCGCCGCCAGCGGCTGCTGATTTCTTTAAGAAAACTTCAAAAACAAATACAAATACTAATAGAAAAGGAAACCAAATAAATAGAATAAACAACATAATCTTTCGGCATCGCTGGTTGCTACGTTGAAATAGAAATATAACAAAAACAACAATCAAAACTTCAAACATAAGTAAAGAAGAGTGAAAAAAGAGACAAGGAAGCTACGAAAAAGTTTTTCAACTTCTAAAAAGTTTCAGCATACGTTCCAACGTTTTACGAAAAGTAAGTCGATTTTTATATATAAATAGTAAATACATACTTACATAACCTACAAATATATTAAACCCCATAAACATGTATATAAGAGCTTGCGTATGCCCACAAACATACTTGCACATATAACCCCACAACCAATAGCTCAATCAAGCTTAGCAAAAAAAAAAAAACTTTTTCCATACAGACTTTCAAAGTATTATCTGACGTTTCTCAGAAGTCAAACACATATACATATGTATGCGAAAAAAATATTGGTTTTACTATAACTCGTTTTCTCTGCATTTGCCCGCTTGTGCCATTTCGCCTGTTATCCCTTCTTCGATTTATCCATCAACGTTGTGTAAACCCATTAAAATTCAATTAGAAACAAAAAAAAAAAAAAAACAGCAGAAGGAAGTAGAAAAATGGGCGAAAAATAAAGATTAAAGAAATGGGAAACTTTAAAATGTTTGTAAAAGTTTTTGAAAATTTTTTCTTTTTTATGTCTATTAAACAAATTTGCCTTACTTCCTGGAGGAAAAGGCACCAGCTATGCAGGCTATTATTCACTGCTTTTATTTTAAGATTAATTTTCCACTTTGAGCGAACTTCATTGCTAAGCCGAATTTTTTATTATTTTTTTACTTGTGACTTCCTTTGCAATGTTGCCAATTTTCAACATTTAACACTAATTATGCCTACCACGAGAAAGGAGCAAACTTTTTAAGCATAAAAATTAGCAAATAAATATTGTAGCGAAATTTTTTTAAATAGAAGAAAACTTAAAATAAGTCCTACTTTATTGTTTTCTTGACAGTGTTGCCAATTTTCACCATATCAAATTTATAGCACGCTTAAAAAGTTACGGGTTTTACAATTCTCATTCATGAAATTAATGTTACAACGAGTTTTCTCAACATAGAAAGCAAAATTACGGATAAATTTTTTGACAACGTTGCCAATTTTCACATAGCCAAATTCCTAGTATGGGTGTAAATTTATATTGACCGATTTCCTTGCAAGAGCCATACATATAAAGTATTCTTTTATTTATAACAAGTTTTCTTACTATGAATTGCAAAATAACTGCTTTCCATAAAATTCAAGATAAATCTTCATTTGTGGTTTAATTAGAGGTGTTGCCAGTTTTCATGGGCTTAAGTTTTTGCTGAAATTTGATGTAAATTTTTGAATTCAAATACTATTGTAACAAGGTTGGCTAGATATCGACATTCGATTCGATTGCTACAAATAAATTGTGAAAAATGGCAACGTTGCTTCATTGTTTGCATTTAAGGATTTTCAATTGAAAACTGGTATAATTCTTAAACATAGTTGACATCCAATTGATATCACTACTCCACCTAATGAAATTTTTGCCAACAATTTTAAGCTTTAAATTTTTACACCCATTTTACGATGGCAAACCGCAAATGGAAGGCGTTAATTTTTATCTCACCTACCTTGCGAATAAGCTTTGTAATAAAAGAAAGAACAGAAAACCACAATAACAAATATTATGAAAAATCTCACAAAGAAAACGTAATAAAATAAAATATTTTTGCTACGTCATTAGAAGTTTAATGATACCTTTAATTAAACTCTCTCTTCTCACACTTTTTTGCTAACAATTTTTGCAGAATATTGAAGTAAAATCAACCCACTCTTTGCCAGAAAAATATATAAACCTTATAAGCATTAAAAAAAAAAAATCATAATCCCATAACTGCCATTATGAAAATTATTTCTGACCAAACCATCTCATTCATTTGCACAATTAGAGCCGAAAGTGTGTGCTATAAACAAAAAATGTTCTACATAAAGATAACAGCAAAAGCACTTTACGCCAAAAATTTTCTTTGAACAGCAAATACAACAAAGAAAGCACAAAGGGGGGAAGAACCACGCCGACAAGCAGACAGCAAAAGTGGTTATAAAGTAGAACACTTTAAGTTTGCTCGAAAATGAATGTGGAACACATAATGTTTTGTATATACATATTCATCACTGGCAGGCAAACTAGATGCTGCAGCAGAAACAGCTGTCTGACAGCCTAAAAGTATGCCAAACTTAAAGACTGCGCACAAGTCTTTTGTGCACTTTTGGGGTTTGGTTGTGAATTACAGTAAAAAATAATATTTTTTAACTGAGAGTGAAATAAAATTTTAGATAAAGAAATTTATGTTCAAAAAAACAAAATTAAGCATTTAAAAATTTTTTTAAGTATAGAAATTGGAGTATTTAATTTTTTGTTAATTAAATGTCAAAAAAACATTTATACCTAATAAATCTACAAAAATAATATAGAAAAATAAGCATAAATAATTTTTAAATTTTTTAAAAACAATAAAAAAAATCACAAGTTTTTTAGTATGAAAATTTCAAAATTAAAATTTTATTTAAAAGAATAAATATTATTTTGTAAAAATTTTTTCCTCAAAGAGTCGTTTTTAGGCGTAAAAAATTTATTAAAAAATGTATATGTAAATACTTAAATAAAAGAAAAATATTTGATGAAATAAACAAATAAATGAAAAAAATAAAAAAAAAAAAATTTTAAATATTTTTTTTTTATAAAAATCAAACAAAATATTGTATCATAAATTTTTGCATATAAAAATACAACAACATTAATTATTTAAAACAATTAATATTGTTTCAGAAAATATCATCGCCGCCAATAGTCAATGTTCGAAAAATACAATTTTAGAATTAAAAAAAATTTTTATTAAAAAAAATTGAAAAAAAAAATTTTAAAACATTTTTAGCTAAGCAATCAAAAAAATAAATGAAAAAAATTATAAAAAATTAATACAAATAGTTGTCATATTTTTGAAAAATTTTAAACACACAAACCTCAAATTAAATTAAAACAAATATTTTCTACGAAATTTTGTATATCAAGCTAAGCACAAAATACACGAAATTAGTGATATTAAAAATTTTTACATAAAAATATAATGTATGAATTGCTCAGATATATTAGAAGATTTTTTATTCAAGTGCTTTTTGTGGTTTTATAACAATTGAAGCTGCATATTGAGTTTCCAATCAACATATCGAACTTAATAAAATAAAAATATATTAAAAACAAAATTTAGTTGTAGCCTACTTTCAGGGGCTACAAAGAAAATAAATAATCTCCAAGGTAATTTTAATAAATTTTAATTAATTTTTAAATGTAGCAAAGCATAATGAATTTTACTGAACTACAAATATATTGTACATACATTAATATATATGTACATGTGTTCTGCTTTAAGTGCTTTACATTTTATGTACATAATAATCGCATTAAATTTTGGTTTAGCATTATGTAAGTAAGTACATATACAAGTACACACGTTTGAAATTCTCGCAACAAGTCAACAATTAAATAAAAGTTAGCAGCGCATTTTAATAATTTAATAATTAAAATGCAAAAGCGTAAAAGTATGCAAAATTTACCATATGTAGGTATGTGTGTGTGTGTGTGTGTGTTTTAGCAATCTACTTTTTTCCTTGCAACCAAACACACCACACACACACACACAAACATATATGTAACTATTTAATTACCCTGAAGCACCCGAACCAAGTAGCTGCGCGGGCATAGTACTTATAATGCTATGTAAAAGTATATATATGTATATCAAAAGTATATATTTACAGTTACCTAGGTATGCGCGTGAAAAAGTCATACGAAATTTCCACACACATGTATGTGTATATATGCATGTTGGTGTGCGTGTTTTGTATATTAAATATGGAAATCACGCAATTCGCCATTTATGGTTGGTGTTCCGCAAAAAATCTGTGCATAGTTTTAGGCGCGTAAACGCATTAAAATGTATACGCATATGTACGTATGTTTAGCCAACTAAATTCGTACGTTAACAAATATGCCAAACAAACTGAGCGACGGCTGCCGCGTGATATTAAGTCGTCAAATTGTAATGCCGTCGGCTTTGTATGTTTGTAAATATGTATGTATGCGCGTAAATGCGACAATGTCACGTTAGCGCGCGATGCCTAAATGTAGAATATGCAAGAATTTGCAAGAAAAAAAGGAAAGTGGCATGAAATAAATGGAAAATATGAAAATGAAAGTGAAATAATAGAAGAAATATGAATGTTGAGAAAAAATGTGGAAAAAATAAATGAAAAAGTATACAACAAATACTCAGTGAAATAAAAAAGCAACAACAAGGTGTTGTTAATTCAAGGTTGATTTTTTTCATTACGCTTTCTTTATTTTTTATATAATTTTTTTTTATAAATATAAATTTTTTTAACTTATTTTTTTGACGGAAATGTTATTCTTATTGTTCGTATTTTTCATTTTGCATGGTTTTTTACATTTTCGACACGCACTGTGCTTCAGAACGAGCTGGCTTGTATGTGTGTTTTTCTGCTGTTTTTCCCCGCTTCTCGGTCGATATTATTGCGTTGAGAATTGGTTTTCTTCGGCATGAAAAATATTTATATTCGTATATGCCGAAATGCGGTTAATTACTTATGACGATTGCTTAACAATTTTACCGCTGTTTTTAGTGTGATTTATTTCGTACACCGTTATGCGCTAGTAATTACCTGTTTCATACATGTGTTGCTGATTAAGATTTATGTAATTTTAGTTTTAGTTTTAAATTTATTTTTAATTCTAATTTTATTTTAAATTTAATTTTAAATTTAATTTTAATTTTAGTTTTAATTTACATACACATACTATCTTTTCCCTTATTATTATTATTTGATTAATATTTTAATTTTTTTAATTAATTTTATTTTTTATCTAAGTCTTTCGTGAATTTTCTTTCTTATTTCAAAATTTCATCATCATTACTGATTGTGCGTGCAGCCATTAAATGTGAGTATACATATATAATATGTTGGTAAATTATGCATATGTAATGAGCTTACTAATTGCGAATGGGTGTGTCGTCTGTTTTTCAATGAGTGCGTATGTTACATGCAATCGTTAAAACATGCAAATCTGTAAATAAAAATTGCATATGTAGAAATTTAATTTTGCTAATAAAAATTTA